AGTACTGCGCGTCGTCATGATGTCCGATCGAGTTCAAAAATGGAGCGCATACGAGGACTTAGGATGGGAAAAGTCGCGCAGTCGATGCTCTCGATGCTCTCCTCTCTCTCTTGAGCAGCGTGGTTGTACCAAGGGGACCAGAACAAGATTGCCACCCGTCCAGCAGTGATCTTGCAGCGCGGTGAACAGCCTCAAGGTCTCGCTGTGTATGCAAACTTGTGACGACGATGGTGCTGAAGCTGACACTGGCTTGCTCACGTTGCGGAGAGCGCAAATGATGCCCGTCAAGCAAAGCGGAGCAAAGCCAGCCAAGCTCGTGCGTGGCCGATGTCTCGGATGACGAAGACTGTAGATTCGCGCAAAGGAGGAGCGCAATCGGAGGGGTGAAGATGATGAAAGGCTTGTGGGCGAGTGCAGCGCGACTGCAGACGTTGTGCGACCCCGGGACTGGAATTTGGTGACTGCGGTCGTGAGTGAATCAGTCACAGTGCGAGTGACGATGTGTGTGGATGATGGGTGGATGGTGATGCTGCTCACGAGTGCGCTGCTACGCGCGATGGATCTGATGCAGATTGGGTCCGCGAATGGAGATCCGAATGGCCTTCCTTACGCACGCACACAGCCTCGCTTGCTGATTCACGATTGATGCGCTGCTTGCCCGTCTGTGCTCTTTCATGTCTACGCGTTCGATCGCTGTGCGAGCTGATGATGTAGGATGCGCGCGTGTGCGCTCTCGAGCCCGTGTGCCTTGCGTTCGGCCAGCTGCACTCACACTCACACTCAATACTGTGACTGTGACTCTCGACTCAATTAAGACTCGTGACCAATGATCTTGAATCACACATTTGACCGTCGTCACCTCAAGACTGACTGCTGCAGGGCGCAAGCGCGCCGGAGAATTTGAATTATTGAATCTGGGGTTGATGCAAGTCACGTGCTAAAGGCTGAAGCGTGCGCTCACGTGCGATGCAACATCGCAAGCTGTTGTTGTGTAGCAGTCACGAGTTTGATGAGTCTTTGAGTCTGAGTAGTCAAGCGTCAGTCAAAGTAACAGTTCGAGTCAAAGTCAGGAGAGAGTGTGAGTGGTGAGCTTAACAAAAGCCGCCTCCACCGCGGGCAGAAGCGCATCCATGCACGGGGCAGCGTGACGCACGGGCTGATCGGGCAAGGCTGCGGTGTGAGCCAGCAGGGACTCATTCACGATTCGTGATTCGATTCGCACTCGAGACTCACGCACGACTCACGTTTCGCAATTCGGGCATCTCGCACCTCATCAGTCGTGAGTCGGAGAAGCTGGGCCGACGGCTGCTTGCACATGTACTGTACACTCGTGACTCGTGACTCGTGACTCGTGACTAGAGGTGCACGCACAGCTTGTCCTGCTTGCCTCTCTGCTAACCACCACACCCACCCTATGTCAACAGGTCGCATTGCAAGCACTCCATCCGACACCACTCAAACTTCAACAAGTCAACATGCTCGCTCGCACTGCGCTTGGCCGAATCGCTGCCGTCGCTCCGACGGCCAACGCTGGTAGCCGCCTTGGCCTCGCTAGCATGTCCATGGGCGTGCGCTCCAAGCACACGCTACCAGACCTGCCATACGACTTTGGTGTAAGTCTGCTTTGCCAAGGTCGATGCTGGCTGCGCATCGATGCGGTTGTATGCTCACCTTGACCCGACCGTGCCCTCTTCTAGGCTCTCGAGCCCTCGATCAGCGGACAGATTATGGAGCTCCACCATCAGAAGCACCACCAAACATACGTCAACGGCCTCAATCAAGCCGAGGAAACTCTGGCAAACGCCGTTGCCAAGAACGATGTCAAGGCTGCCATCGCTACTCAAAAGGCTCTCAACTTTAACGGCGGAGGTCAGTATCTCATCCGCTGTGCGCAGTGCCACCTCGTTCCATGCCACTGACCCGAATCGAGCGCGCTACGACGACACGCCCCACGCAGGCCACGTCAACCACTCTCTCTTTTGGCAGAATCTCGCTCCATCCAAGCAAGGTGGAGGAGAGCTCTCCGCAGGTCCCCTCAAAGAAGCAATCGAGCGTGACTTTGGCTCTCTGGACGGGCTCAAGAGCAAATTCAATGCTCAGCTGGCTGGAATTCAGGGTTCTGGCTGGGGATGGCTTGGACTCAATCCTTCTACCGGCAAGCTCGACATCATCACCACGGCAAACCAAGACCCACTGCTCTGTACGTGTCGACACCGATTCACATCAAAGTTGTGACGCGAGAACGTAGTCGG